GTTGGGAGCTTCCCAGCCTCTGCTGAACGCAGAGTGTGAAGACGTGGGGTGGAACAGCAGAGCTGCAGCTCTGGGACACAGTTGGGCTGCTTCTGTGTCGCCTTCCCCAGCAACCTCTGCTCCAGGGAAGATAATGCCAAGGCCCTGAGGCTGGCCTTAAACAAAAGGCTTGGGGAGCTTAGAGCAACGCTAGACCGGAGCTGCCCCTGGGGCTGGTATGGATTGTGCAAACTCGGCTCTTGTGTTCGTGGCCCAGGTGATTCACAGTCTGGACAAACCCCTCATGACAGCTGGGAGCTAACTCTGTGCTGACATGAGTTGAGATTAGTGGAATCCGGTCTAGAGACCATGTCAGCACACCTCCTTATTCTAATATCATAGAATCATAGAATGCTCAAGGTTGGAAGGGACCTCTCGAGCTCGTCTAGTCCAACCCCCTGCACACGCAGGGTCACCTAGAGCACGTGGCACAGGACTGCGTCCAAGTGGGTTTGAAGATCTCCAGAGAAGGAGACTCCACAACCTCTCTGGGCAGCCTGTTCCAGTGCTCTGGCACCCTCCCTGGGAAGAAATTTTTCCTTAAGTTCCTGTGGAACTTTTGGTGCTTCAGTTTGTGGCCGTTTCCTCTAGTTGTGTCGGTGGCCACCAGTGAAAAGAGGCCGGCCCCATCCTCCTCACTGCCTCCCTTGAGGTACTTCTAGACACTGCTCAGGTCCCCTCTCAGCCTTCTCTTCTCCAGCTGAACAGGCCCAGCTCCCTCAGCCTCTCCTCATAGGGCAGATGTTCCAGGCCCCTGATCATCCTTGTAGCCCTGCGCTGGACTCTCTCCAGCAGCTCCACATCCCTCTTGTCCTGTGGAGCCCAGAACCGGACACAATACTCCAGATGTGGCCTCACCAGAGCTGAGTAGAGGGGCAGGATTCCCCCCCTCGAACCGCCGGGAGCGCTCTTCTTAACACAGCCCAGGATCCCATTGGCCTTCTTGGCCACAAGAGCACACTGCTGCCTCATGGTCAAAAACCATTTCGGATTTGTACATCTTGGGTTAAACTTAACATTTAGAAGCATCCCAGTGGCTCATGAAAATCCTGTGTCCTTCCTTCACATTCAGATTTTTGGTTGCATAGTGCTTATAGCAAATACTATCCAAGGATAATCACTAAAACTATATTTGAACATATTTTTCACTGTCTCCTTAATACACTAGTGCTTTCTTGATAATGACAGGTACTTGTAGAATCTCGTGCCATTAATGGCACAAACAGCAGCTTTTTCCCTTGCATTGTAATCACTGTTCACACATTGACTATTGCTTGTCTGTTACCTTGGGCTTGCTGCCCGGCCTGAGCTGGCTCTGTTTTGCTCACTGCTGTGCCTTATCATCCTTTCTGAAGCTAATTGTAGCGGTTGAACAAGATGAAATTCCAAGACTCAAAGGTCTGTATGAAAGAGGGCTGCAGAACAACGTCCGAGATCTGAAGTTGATCGGAGCCGAAGAAATAAAGGCAAAAGAACCCTTCTGCAGGGTAAGGGATTTTCTTGTTCTTAAGTGGAATATAAATTGCCAGTTTCTCAAGTGACGTTATTTTGAATTTAATGCATGTGTGTTTCTGGCCTTGAGATAATTTGCATGTGTGACAAATTTGAAAGGCCCTGAAGGCCCAGAAGAAATGAAATTGCCAGCAAAAATGAATGTATCCATTCAGTTCTGGAGCTGTGTAGCACAATGCATTCATATGCATGTGCTGTTGCACAGAAATTAGACCAGATCTGTCATAACTTTAGGAGATCCTGCAGGATCCTCCTTGTTGGCACCTGCTGTCACCCCAGTTTTCAGCTCTTTGCCTGTTCTCCTTCCCTTTCCATCTGCTCATTGTTCAGTTCTTGGTGTGCTGAAATGATACAGGGCTGCGCCTGCACTCATTGCAGGTCATGTGCTGGCTGCATCACAAGGGCCCGTGGTCATAAATTAAGGAGAGCAGGAGATGTTTCACTTGCAGCTTCCAAAAGGAATCGGAATTACTTGGGTCAAAGTGGAAACCAGACTCATTAATCCCAGTGCAGGACTGAGTCCATAGGCAAATGGACAGAGCCAGCAAGTTGTTGGAACTACATCCCCTTCTCAGCTTTATGCAGAGGTGTTCTTTCCTCATGTGTAGTTTCAAGGGGGGAGGGGGGAAAAAAAAAAAAAACTTAGTGACAATTGTGTATGTGGGTTTGTTTGGTTTCCTCTCCTGCTACTTGCAGGTATTTTCTCATGTGTTGTTGTTGATAGATACACTTTTTCCATTGCCCAGATCAAAGCTGCTGCATCTGAGTTTATGCTGAGGTGGTTCTGCCCCTTTCCAACAAGATTATATAACCGATGCTAAACTTGATAGTGCAGCAATGAAAATTCCTTCCACTCTGCAACTGCAAATTTGCATGGAGCTGATTTTTAACCCTGGTGCTCCCTATGTGCATAGTTGTTTTGTAGTACTTCTTAGCTTGGTTATTTTAACAGCAGGAGACATGTGAGCAGTTTGGAATACAGATTTGCTCTTGTTTAGAGTATCCTTGACTGAGAGGAAAATTTGAATGTAAGTGCCCCATACTGATTCATCTGACAGTTTGGTTTTGCTATAGTCGCATGATTTGTTGCTTATGAGTGGTTGTAGGCACAGCTGGAGACTTTCTGGAGAGGAATTGTGTTGTGGTTTTTTGTTTCCTTTTTTTTTTTTCTTTTAGTAATTTGTGTCTGAGTTGACACATGGTGAGACTAAGGGCAAGCCTCAGAAATGAGGAGACAGCAGCACTCTCATCTCAGCAGCAGAGCACACTATACCAGATGCAATATACTGCGTGTTTGAGCCCCTCGTGCACACAATTCTAACTATATTTCTGTATCTTAATGTTGTTCCAGGGTCTGATGGCCCTTGATTCTCCATATACTGGCATTGTGAATTACAGGCAAGTGGCCCAGTCCTATGCTGAAGACTTCAAGGAAGCAGGTGGGACCATCTTGACTGATTTTGAAGTGACAAACATGGAGATGGCTACAGAAAGTTCTTCAGAAAGTGAAGATGGTGAGATTTTGTACAAAACTCCTTTCCTCTAACTGAAACTGCGTTTCTGCCTCCCCAACTCTTAAGGATACGTTGAGACGAAAGACAGAATAATGTTAAGAGCATTGAGCAAACTTGCTGTTTTCTGAAGGGAGGTCACCCTTCAGAAGAAATGTTAAATGTTGGCAAAATAAAATATCAGTAAATTGGAGGAAGTAGGTTGTTCTCTCCCAGTACAAACACGTTCAGCCGAGTGTTACACGTGCGTGCCAGTGACAGCACCTTTCTGCTTGTCCCAGGCGGCTGGACCTGCGCTGACAATCCAGCTGTAGGGTGTGGAAGGATAAGGAAACGCACTGATTCACGAGCACAGTTTGCTCTGTAGCACCAAGATCTTCCACTGGAAGAGCCTTCACCCTGACAAGCTGCCCATTCCAGCAGTTTTCTGTGTTCTATTAATTCCTTCTCTTGTCTAATTACATTACAGGGCTGAAATACCCAGTCGTTGTTAGGAACTCTAAGGTAAGAACTAAACTGAAGATTTAATTTCTTAATAGGAAGCTCTTTCTTCTTAAGAATTTTTGTTGAGCTCTAGCGCTTTAACCAGCTCTTAGTGTTGCTTAGTTATGTGTTTGCTGTCATCTGGGATAACTGTTGTAAAAGACAGCTTCAATCACAGCTTGAGTCAATTCCTAGCAAAGTATGTGATCATGTTCAGAACTCACTGTGTAAGCAAATAATAATGAAAGTATTTATGACTTTTTCCTTCTGTTGTGCACCGTGTATTTACTGTCTGTGCTCCTTATCTTTCTGATTTGTACATTCTTATGCTTGTTTTTTCCATTTTTTTTACATTTTTTTGTTTGTTCTTCAATCTTTGGCTTCTAGTCAAATCATAAGGAGGCGTTTTTAATTGCTTTATAATAAGAAAACTGTGAGATAATTTAGTAAAACAGGTGCCTCTCCAGGAGTCACCCCTGCATGGCAGTTAATGCTGTATGGCAAATATAGGAGCAATCTTTTCATCTTCAGGAATGGATAGCTAGCTCTTAAATAAATAAATGAGAGAGAGAGAAATGAAAAGAAAACAAAACTCACCCCTAAATTCTTATTCTTTCAAGTTAACTGTTTCTTTTTTGTTCTGTTTCCCCTCTCTCATTAAAGAGTAGCCTCCACAGTTGTTAGATTCCCTTAGCAAAAACTTAAACAAAATTTATGGAAATATTTTTAGTTGAAAGAAGAATAAAGAACCCATGTTTTTGAAAACATGTATTTGAAAACACGTAGCATAAGGTATGTAGATAATAGACTTTTTTTGATAAAATATTTAGATAGTAAGGTGTTTAGATATTGAACAGTTCTGTAGAACTGTGTGCTATGAACACGTGTGGCTTTCTGGATGCCATCTGGTATTGCAAATCACTCCCAGTGTGTGGGGTGAAATCTGTTAGGAACCTTATTTGACCCAATACATTGTGGTTGCTCAGCTGCACCGCCCCTAATGGCTCCTCTGGTGACAGAGACCTGGCTCATGTGTTGGGTTCTTGCCCTGATTCTTGTGTAATCCATAAGGCCCTCGGTAGGTTTCTTTCTTTCTTTTTTTTTTTTCCTCTTCCAGTCCTACCTGGCTAATGAGCTCTCATTCTGGGAGAGTTCTCCAGGGAAAAAGGAGAATATTATAAAAAATTATATAAAGCAACTGAAATGTTTCAGCCTGTTTTGCACATGTATAGCTGTTTTTTTCCTTCTGATCGTAACTTATTTTTCTGAGGCTTGTAGGTGATAAGTGGGTCAGGGTTGTTTTTGTTTAAGTTAATGTGTTGAATTTTGAGCCGTGTGTTTCTGGTCATTGTTTTCCCCTCTAGGGTGAGGAGGTCTCCTGTGGGCACGTTGTGACGTGCGCGGGGCTTCACTCGGACCGCCTGGCCGAAATCAGCGGCTGCAGCCCTGAACCCCGTATCGTGCCCTTCCGTGGGGATTATTTGGTGCTGAAGCCAGAGAAGTGCTATATGGTTAAAGGAAACATTTACCCAGTATGTGCTCTCTCTCTTATTTTTGGCTTTGCAGTGTGTTTTGAGAACTACTAAAACCGTAGAACAAGGGCACTGGTAAAATGAAGACTGTGATGTGTGATTGTGCATACAGGCTCAGTTTCTTTCTGACAGGGCAGCTTGTTTTTGTTAATTCCAGAGGAATGGATACAAGTGCTATATCTTATATATTACCAGTGGCTCTGGTTGTCTGTTTTCTAAAAAAATAACGAGTTGGCTGTAGGATTTTTAGGGAGGGAATGAAACATTTATCTTGAGAACCATGTGCTTGTCTTCTTTCTGTAAGTTGTAGTATAGAACCATAGAGAGGACTCAAAAGCCCATGAACAAAGGCAATAAATTACTTGGGTATAAGCTTCAATTTTGTGTACTGATTCCCCAAGTTCAGATTTCAGAATGTGGCCTCAGATTTGCCTCCTAAACATTGGAGCAGGTTGCCCCAGGGAAACTCTGGGGCCTCTTGGAAATAATCTGTTGGGGCCAAGTGTGAGGATGAGGTTAGACAATTGCACGAATCTGTCTGTGATCTGTTACCAGAAATAAAAGGCAGTTTATGGAGTGGTTCCACTAAGCTCAGAAAATATGAAACGCCTATTTTTACTTGGAAAAGCAGTGTACTGCACACAGAAAAGAAAGTGATGTTGAAGCAATTTTCTAGTTATAACTGCACTCCTATTTTTTCATAGATACCAAAGATTTTCTTAGTTCCAGACTGATATAGTCACCTCTGGAGTCACCTTTTCTAAATAGCTAAAGAACTTGAAGTGTCAGCTTGGGAAGAGATGTATTTGCTGTATACCTGCAAAAACTGGCCTGTACTTGTATGCGCACACAGGCAGGTTATTTCTGTTTCAGCCTTCAACACATGGTTTCACTATATTTTGTTGTTCACAAACAAAAAAAATGAAACCATAGATACTTATTATTCCCATTAATCAGACTTCTCTGCGTGTTGCTTTGAGCAGTACAGGAGTGGTAAAGTTTTCCTAATATTTGATAATTTTATTGTTGTGTAGTTACTGCTGGTGGCATTTGTGTGTCATTGGTTTTGCTGTGGGTTGATTTATATTCTGGGAAGTCACTAAAACATTCTTTGTTGTCTGTTTTGCTTTTACCTAAGATGCAGTCTTGCTTGGCCATGTTCTGGTCTTCAGAGTTTTCAATTAGCAACATGCTCTCACTGTACAATTAATGAGAAGAAAAAAGAGTGCAGGAGACAGCTGTGTAGCTGTTTTGCCATAATGATTGGAAATAGAAATGGCACATTGATTTATTTCTTTTCTCATGTTAATTTTAAGTTATTTCCTTTAAGTGGGAGCAAAACTCCTGTGGGGTGTTTTGTTTTGCCTACTGTGTCATGCTTGGCGAGCCCTAAAGGTCTATACTTTTTCCCCTTCACATTTTCCTGGTTCCTGGAGGAATTTTTTGGTTTGAGTGGTTGGGTGGTCCCTGATACAGTTTGAAGGGGCTGCAGTAACTGTTATATCCTACCTTAGGTTCCCAATCCTCGGTTTCCTTTCCTGGGATTTCATTTCACACCGAGAATGGATGGCAGCGTTTGGCTTGGTCCTAATGCAGTGCTGGCCTTCAAGCGAGAGGGCTACAAGTTGCTTGACTTCAGCCCTACAGACTTTTTGGACGCTGTTCTGTACAGGTAATCGTTCTGGCTCCCGGGCACAGTTATTATGACCCCAGGGAAGCCAGCTCTTGTCAAAAACCTTGCTGCTACTTTTGCCAACTTTTAGGTTTGTTTTAAGGCAGTTGTGCTGATATGGGTGGACTTCTGCAAGACATTTGACTTCCTGTGATATACTATTTGAATTATTTGAAACTACCAGGGCAGGTCTCTGCAGGCCTGTGGCCACAGCTGCCGATGGGAAAGCACTGGCGAGCAGGGTTCCTCCGGGATTGGTTTTGGGCCAGGGCAGTGTAATAATTTAATCAACGTAGACAGTGTGATAAAATCTCTGCGGAGGGGTGCTTGGAAAAGAGACTACACGGAGGGCTGAATTGCCTTATTAAATTTAATCAGACCATCAGTATGCATTTAAAAAACATCCAAATGGAAGCAAATACATCAGGAGCCAAGAACACTGGCTGGGAAGCCGTCTTGGAAGTAGCATCTGAGAGGAATTAGGAATCATTGCTGAAAGTGGAAGCATAAATAAACCAAGTATCTGTAGAAGGTAAGAGAAATGTTGCTTCCCTATAAAGGGTTGGACAGACCATTGCTGAGCGCTCAGCTCTAGAAATCAGGCTTGAAAAGGATATGGAAATACTGGGGGGAATCCAAGCAGGGGCTGCAAAACAGATCAGGGAACTGGAAAAATAGCTTTCTGGCAAGAGCACGAGTTAAGGCAGCTTATTAAAGGCAATAGCTGGAAGCATCTTGATTATTGTCTATAGATACTAATACTGGAAGTATTGGGAAAGCAAAGTAAGCAAACAAGACTTGCAAAGATCTAATAAAATTAATTGACTGGAAGCTGAGGTTCTCAGGAGCGTGATGGTCTCCCGAATGATTGTGAGGGGGGGAAAAAGTCTCCAGAGGTTTCTCTCTTCTCTCATGCCTTTGGGTTTTCAGTCTTTTACTACTTGATTGGGCCAGTGAAAAATCCAAGGTGCAGGAAGAACCAGTGGCCGGAGTAAAGACTCACAGGAGCAGTTTACGTGGAACACCAGAGCTCTCTTAGCAAGTCCTGCTGGTGTGCGAAAGGGGGGTTGTATTTTTCACATAAAAGCACTGGTCACATCATTAACTTTGGGAGCGGGAGCTTCTGCTGGACAATTGCATTTGTGCTCTGCACAGTGTCAGTTCATAAGCTCGATGTGGCTGCATTTCTCATGGAAAAGGTGGTTTTGAGGTAATTATTTACTTTGTCTCTCTCTGCAGCGGGTTATGGAAGCTGGTGCTGAGAAACCTCTCCTATGGCCTGGGTGAAATGTACAGAGCGTGTTCCCTGAGCGCCCAGGTGAAGCAGCTGCAGAGGTTCATCCCTGAGGTCACGGTCAATGATATAGTCAGGTAAAGAACACTTATCTTGGTAGCACCTCGAGGCCTCTAAAGCTCCTGTTACGCTTGTAAGTGTATCATTAGCTTACTCTGAAATAACGTTTCCAAAATACAGAGGTGCTCAGACGTCCAGGAACATTTTTTATATTGTGTATACTGTGTACAGACAAGTTTGAAAAATATTTGTTTGACTTCATATACTTTCCATGGGCTGAAATTAATGTATATGCCATATTCACCACAAAAATGTCTGTCTATCCTGGTGGCACATCCAGTCGGATGAGCATAATTTGAGTTCACACTAATAAAATTCACGGGTGTTAACCTATAAGGATGTCTTATAACAGGAAGAATTAGTAGCTTATGGTGCACTTAAGTGCTGCAACATTTACTCTGTTGCTCTGGAGACTTAAAACTAGACAGGCTGGAGACTGCCGTGATCTCCCTGGCCTTGGTGGAAGATTTGCAAATCTGAGCCTTGTGGGAGAGATGGAAAAGGAGAAACTTGCTGTTCAGGACTGGAGAGATGAAGTCCCTGAGCTGCAAATTGCTTTATTTATTTATTTATTTATTTTCCCTGTCCTTATCATATCAGCTTTTAGTGTGGCTGGACGTAAAATACTTAATTAGGTGGGTCTTTAATCTTGCCCAATATGAATGTTGTTCTTATAAGGATAGAATCGCAGAAATTATTTTCGGTAAAATGATACTCTTGGTCCTCCTCTAACTCAGAATGAACAATGTGTTTGTGGTTATCTGAGAAACCAGCTGAGCTGGTAAACACTCAGTGAGGTGTTTCGGAGGGGCAGAACAAGCAATAGCTGGGGAATGAAAGCGAATTTCCTAGGCAGTGGAATAGCTTTATTTTTGCCACCAGAGGGTCGCAGAAGCTCTGACAATAGCACACACAGGTATCAGGATGTTTTTATGTTTATGGTTTCTCACTGCTGGGAAAAATTAATTGGCCTGACATGGAAAAGCTTGGTCTTGATGCGGCCTTAAAATGCAGCAGAAACCCTTAAATTCTATGATTCTGTGAAATTGCTAATGCTTGTTGATGGCCAGAGAGCTGCTGCGGGTAGCTCCAGGAGGAAGGTAGTTGTGTCCTCAAGGGATTTGGGAAGAGCTGCAGCCCCGCGGCTCTGCTTTCTGCTGCACAGGGCTCGGTGGTTATGATGCTGCCCTAAGATTTGGATGATCAGGCTCAGCTCCCTGCTCTGCATATCAGTCTTGGGCAAACCTTGAAAATGTGTTTACCTGAAGAAATGCAGCAGATGTAATTTTTAATGTGATGGCCCAGAACAGCTTCCTGAGTGGGTGCACTCACCTGGGTGCAGTGTGTGTGCCAGCAAGTGAAACCACCCCTTCCTCCTCCTTTTTTACTGCTGAAGTGTGCTATAGAACTTAGCTGTGTGCATGAGTTTCTGTTCTTGCTTCTTGCCTTGCTGCTTCACCTGCCAAAGGAGGTTTATAGCACTTCCAGGCTTCTGCTGGAGGGAGTGCTTTGCCAATAAATGCTTTAAAAAATTACGAGGCACTTGGTACTGTGATAGTGAAGGGCACAGATGTGTAAGCAATGATTGTGAACTTCTAATCTGTTGAGTGGGATTAACGAGTATAGATGCTCCCTGTTTCTTGTACATGATATGAAGATGTCGGCAGGTCTTATCGAGCCTTATGATCTGTTATCGAGCCTTATGATCACATATCTATTTAACTGTCAAACAAAACGTATATGACTGAGAACTGCACAAACTGCATAGCCATAAAACACTTTAAGGGTGTGTTGCATGTTGCTTTCTGTGGGAGAACCGTAGTGCTACAAATGGTGCAATGCCTTCATGGAGTGAAGGAGAGAATGGCTTGTGAGTTAATATTGGTATTTTTTCCAGTTAACAATTCTGTCAAACGGAGGTGTTTGTGGTGTTATCGTTGATCTTGATGCTAGATATTGTGTTCTAAACTCTCATAAAAATGTGCCAAAGGTTTAAAACCTGTGTAATTTTAAAATCCGTGTGACTTTGCTTTAGATCCTCTTTTTGGTGTAGAATAAGGCAAACTTGTGTCTTTTTCCTGTGTTTCTGTGAAATGTAGAAGCTTCAATAGTTCCCTCTTGCACAGAAGGATCCATAGGCTAAAAAGTGTGGGTTTAAACGTGTTTATAGGTGCATGTCCATAATTCCTGGGTCCTCTCTTACATGTCTGAAAGAAGCCACTCTTATAGTCTCATAGTTCAGTGAAGTTGGTTAGATAGCAAGCTCAAACTCACAACATTTTCTCCCTAAGGGTGAGCTCTTCCTTTAATTTGCAGGGGTCCATCTGGAGTGAGAGCCCAAGCGTTGGACAGCGATGGGAATTTGGTAGATGACTTTGTATTTGATGGGGGCAGCGGAGACATCGGAAGCCGAATTCTTCACGTCAGAAATGCCCCTTCTCCTGCGGCGACCTCCTCCCTCGCCATCGCCAGAATGATTGCGGATGAAGTGAAGCAGAGGTTTGAGCTGTGACTGCCCCTCCTGAGGATGAACTCTGCAGGCTGTAATGACTCTCAAAGGTAAAAGAGGTGACCGCTGCGTGCAGGATGAGCGCTGGTGCGGCTCCGCTGCAGTGTTTGCTTTGCACACAGCTTATCCTGTGAAGAAAGGAGTTGTGGCGCCCGATAAGACGCGGTGCTCTGCCCACATCTGCAGGAAACAAGGACACGGCCGGTTCACAGTGAGGGCTGCCTCGTTCGCCCGAGCGCCTGGGCCCTTGGCAAGGGGCCCTGAGCAGTCTTGGACCAAAGGTGGAGCACAAAGGTGGAGCGTGACGCTGCTCACGCTGCCGTCCCCGTCTCCTCCTTGCGCTCTGTGGAGACGGGGCAATTCCCTGAAAACCCACGAGCGCAGGGAGGTTGTCTGGGTGCTCTCTTGACATCTCTCTTTGAATGGATTTGGAGCATCCAGTCCTCCAACTTGCATTAAACAGTGGAGATGGAAGGATAAGCTCAAGGGTTCTGTAAATTGGAAATTAGGGGCTTTATCGCAGACTGAAAAGAACATGCAGAGCCTTGTGAACATAGTGTGTCTCAGAGAAAAATAAGCCTGACATGGGATTACCAAATACAAGTCAATTTAGATACGTGATTCAGATATGCATCCTGTCCAGTCTGTTTGTGTATACAGTTGAAATCAAAATGTATGAAAAATGACTGTTCATGTTTCTAACCTAAATTTGGGGAGTCAGCACTGATCAGGACAAAGCCATTTTTTTTTCCTTTTTTTTTTTTCCTTTTTTTTTTTCTCCTTTCAATACTGGTAATGCAGAAGGAGCTTATCTTTGTAGAGCATGTTGAGCAATCCAGTGGAAATGGTCCTAGTAAAGGCAACTAAGAAGGGTGGGAAGCTACAGAAACCTGTCTTAATTGAGTCATATTGCACACTACTTCCTTTGAACCAAACAGCAATGAGTCAGGGAGGCTTCCCACTTCCCAGACGCCTGGGAAAAAGGGAGCCTAAAACATCCTGGTTCCTGCTGTGGACTCTTACTTATACTTGAAGCACTATCAAGGTGCACCTGGAAGAGGATCTGTGTTGGGAAGGCGCTTTGAAACAGAGCGAGCTGTTAAACAACTTTGGTGCGAAGCGAACTGAGTGTGTTGGTGTGTTCTGCATAATTGCTGAAAAAAAAAATAGTGGCCCCAGGGACAAAGTGCTTCGGAATACTTTTAAAGCAGATGTTCACAGGATGTTGGGTAATGCACATAATTGTGGGTAGTTTGCTACCAGGCAACTTGCCATACGTGGGGTTTTTTTTTTCTGTCTTAGTTTTTTTTATGTATTTCCCTAACATGCACAAGGGAACATGTTAGCATTAGAGGGCAGGTGTGCTGGCTGCTGTGTTTTTGTTGTACAGAGCTGAGTTGCTTTTGAGACAGGAAGGGCTTAATGTTTTGGGTTTTTGGATTTTCTTTTTTTTTTTTTTTCTTGTGACATCTACTTTACTGGAAAAGGCTGTGCCTGGGCCTAGGAGTTCCTCAAAGAGAAGATGTGATGCCCATTATTTTTAGCCACACTAAGGCTAGCTGGAGGTTCAGATCTGCCACGTGCCAAAGCGTCCCAGGGCTGCGCAAAAAGCCCCAGGCCGCATCGGTGGCTTCGCTCCTCTCCAGCAACGCTGCCTGTCACCGGTAACTGCTACAACCCGATTGCAAAAGCCACATCCTCCCACACAAGGTGTGTCCCGAACATGTATTAACAGCCCGGGGAACACGCAAGGTGAAGCACTCGGGCCCTGGAGCGCCTGGAGTCGGCACCGTACGGCCGCAGCCCTCTGCCCTCCCCGAGCTGCTGCTTTCTGCCTTGCTCTCAGGAGAGGGTTGTTTTTCTGTGCGCTTGAACTGAAAATTTCAAATCATGACTATGCAGAAATCTGTGAGCTATTTCTATTTTTAGAGTGACTTTTTAGATCTTTTTAGAGTCGAGAGACTTTTCAATACTGTGAATTAAGACAATGGAGTGCAATACGTGCAGCATATGAAACTGTACCGCTTTGTCCTTAAGATACCCCCTCGCAGGGCTGGCCTTAGTCGCCTGGCCTTTTCCCGTTGTCATTAAAAGTGTATTTAAACATAAAGTGCTGTCGGGTGTGTGTGCAGCGCGGCAGAGGGGGTGGCCCTGCTGTTCGTGTCGCTGTCGCCGGGGCCGCGGCGGGCGCCCCTGCTGCGCCGCCGCGCGCCCGCCAGGGGGCGCCCTGGTGG